GTGAAAAGGCTGTACTTCAGCAATAGATAGCAGAATAGTTACCATTCCCTCTCCAAGTTGCTGGGCAGAAACAGTGTCTAAGCACACAGTAAACATCTTTAAAACCTGTCCAAGAGCCAGAAAAGGATTTTGAGTTGAGACTGGTAAGGACTGCTGCCCTGTGACCAAGTTTTCTGAGGCAGTATGAGCTTCCTTGCAAACTATAAAGCTGTAACTGACTCCTTTCACAGTCACTAATGCATAGAAAATCTAATGCCATGCTCTTCCTTTCCTCTTTTCCCTTTGTCTAATATCTTTGCTATTTCAAACTGTAACCAATTTAAAGCTGTTTCCTCAGCACTAACTGCACAAGTAGGCAAGTCTCACATTTTTACTAAATCATTACCTTCAAGAAGGAACTTAAGCAAAATAATCTGGGTTTTTTCCTTCCTGATTGCTCCCTACCCTCAAACACACACAATTCACAATAAACTAAAGTCATGTTTCCTAAGCAAAGACTGAGATATCTGCAAAGCTGGCATGCCTGCCTCTGAGGGCAAAGACTGGCTCTGACTGTGGAAAGCACTCTACAGAGCCTGTTCGGTTCCTGCAGGACAGAAACACCAGTTTTATGAGTACAAAGTAACGCTTAGCAAAATTCAAGTAGAACTGCTAGGGTAAATTCATACTAGAATAAAATTATATTAGATACTTAAGGGATACAAAGTATTTCTGGGCAAGCTGTGTTTCTAATTAGTATGGTATCTCTAGTTTGGCACTGTCACATGTTATTGAAGGAATACTGAAATCATCCCTCAGGCAAAATGGTTACATTTAATAATACCACCTAGTACCGCCTGCTCTAATACTGCAACTGCCTGCTTCTCTACAGTTATCCTAGCAACCTCAGGACCAGTGAAGGGAATAGCAGAGTGCATTGTGGCACACAGGTTGCAGTTCTCACCTCTTTAAAGAATACCTGATAAACCAGGATAATCCTCTGATGGAGCTATTGCTTCAACACCATGAGAGTCTTTAAAATGCCCTAAACATTTGTACAGAGAGTTCATATCTGGCAGGCATCATCTTTCATTATCATATCTTATGGCCTTAACCCAGCAACACCTTGAAGTGTGTGCTTAGCCACAGAACAGGGCTCTGGCTCATCATCTCACTGTGTACCTCCTCCTTGCCAGGAAAACAAGGATGCTAGTACTCATAAGCAAGCTGTGCTAAGGCCTAATCCTGCCCCATGAACATCAGCAGGACTTGTACCACTAACTTCAATAGGTGCAAGTAAGGGGGCAGATAGTAAGAATTGTGCTGATTTTCCAAATTGCAACAAGGGTCTATTAGCCATTTTGGGTGCCAGGTACCTTTAGAAAACTGGTCCTTGCCCATTGAACTCTTTCTTCCTCCAAGGAAAAGGATGCCACTACAGACCTAACTGACTTTACCTTTTCTTTGTTGCCACATTCACAGCTCTCAACCATGATGCTACTGCTGAGACATTCAATCCTGATGCTAGCTGCTGAATCTGGGCATAGAAAAACAATCAATGACACAGTGCTTTGCCAGAACAGTAAAAAGATGCAATACAGTAAGTTCTCCTACCTGCTTGTCACGATTTAAAGGTGCCAGTGGTTACTGAAGCTCTGGGAGAAAGATAAAGTTGATTAGGTGGGGGTTTTTTGTTGTTGGGTCGTTGGTGGGTTTTTAAATGGATTTTAACACATAGATCAATTGGCTACGCATTCAGTCACATGGATGGCTTTTCCCCAGATACTGAGTGCTGTATACTGTGGCACTCCAGTGTCATTCCTTCAAATGCAATAGTGAAGGAGGACTCATTTTTGCCCCTGGTACTGCAACATTCCAGCCAAATCCATCATTATTTGTCTTGGAGGTGGCTGCACCTCAGATTGGACAAATAAACCTCTGCTTTATTTGTTTAGATAGTCTGAAGAACCTGCAGTCTGGACCTCTGCACAGAAATTCAGATCTCTGGACAATTTAGTGGACACAGAAGAGATTAAATTTCTGGGCAAGGGAAGAGTATTCCACTGCAAAGACTGGAAGCAGAAATGGTTGGATGTGTGCCACTACAGAAACTTATTCATTGGACTCCACAACAACTGAAGACATGATTACTGTTCTTTCCCCATACAAGTGTGGAAAAGTAAAAGCGACAGTAATGAGACAATTATTCATTGACTGCCTTGGTCTCTTGCTTCCTCTACCAACTCACAATTGGCTGCTTCTAGATCTCTTCACAAAGCCTCAAAATACCTCAAGAGCTTTCTCTGCAACTTTGACATCTGGAACAATTCTCTCATATTTCTCCATCTTGCCACTTCTCCTTCTGTCTTCAGACCCACAAGAGTCCACAGCTTGCTGCTCTGCTGGAACAGCTGTTTCTTCTCTATTATTCTGCTAATTTTTATAATTCATTTCACATAGGTCTTTCATCTGTCTGTAAGTATCCGTGAACATCTGCCATCATTCATAAACTAGTTTTACCTGAAGGTGGGGTTGTTTTCTTGTTTTAAGGTATCTGTTTGATTTAGGTGAAGTGGCTAATGACTAATTGTACACATTTTATTTGGAAAGCACAGTGAATGCAAGCCAACCACCAGAGCTGGCTCAAGGCTTCTTATCATCATAAGCAAACTAAGTCACTCTGCCCTGAGGATGAATAGCCTCAGCTGCACCCAGAGCTGGCTTCTTCTGCCAGAGAAAAGCAAACAGGATCCAGAACAGGCTCACGTGCCCCACTTCCCCCCAAAGTAGCTGCTGTTTCATACATTAACTTCCCCTCTCCTGACAGCAGCAGATGCCACTCTGGTTTTCAGGGCTCTGTCAGGGCTCTGCTGCTTAGCTCTGGCACGCACCAAGAGATCAGACTCATTCAAAAGTAAAGAAAAACGCCAACCTCAATTCTGCCTGTATTTCCCACCTATGTATATACCTTAACCTCACTAGACCGATAACCTTGCCTGCAAGGTGAAATCTAAGATCATGCTTCAGGATTAAGAAAGGTTTACTATACTTAAAAATCCCACAACACACTGACTCCCCTGAGCACAAGGCTCGAGCAATGTAAGAGACCTTGTGTTGCTACCCTGCTGCAGGATACCTTTTTTCTTAGCAAACACCACAAAATGCATAGTAGTTGACATTCATATGAAATATATTACAGCAAAGAAAATGTCAGGGATTTATCCATATGAAAGTTGTAAAGCTGATGCTTTTGCTGTGCTCTCAATACCCCTCTTCGTGCAAGATGAGGAGAGAAAGGATATAATAAAATGAAGACTAACCCATTCTGGAAGGAATTCAAGTCTGCACTGAAACATTGAATTTTGTCCTTGAGGTGATGAATGCAATCAAGAAAAGAACAAACCATTTTGCAGAACTCATTACATCCGTGGAAAGAAATGCAGGGGCTTGTTTTCCAGAGCTGGGACAATCTGTCTTAGGTCCAGCCTCACAAAGCCCTGGGTCAGCTCTGCAAAGAACATTTACCTCTGTCCTTACACATGTAGTTGTATCTCCCCCCACAATACATTAGCTGCCCCAGGGCACCCCACTTAATTTGTATTGCACAGGTAGCAGAAAAGTGATGGAAATGATCCCTTTCAGGGTCTTATGTTCTGAGGAGTTTGATGTGCAGCAACAGGTTGGCAGTATGGCTTCCTACAGAAATACAAAGGACTTGTGCTTGAAAAAAAAATAAAGGATTCACTGATCTGTTTGATTTGGTTTGTATTTTCTTCTATATATAAAATTATTCCATGTAATTTATATTTAAACATAATTATACACTGACAGTGATCTCATATGAAGAGTGTGAATTTTTCATTTTATTGAGGGAAGATCTAATTTGCTATTCCCATGCGTGAAAAGCTGAGTATGTATGAATTCTGTAATGAGAAATGATTAATTACTTGCTTGAGAATGCTAGTCTTATAAACCTGGTTGACTATGCACAAACAACAAGATGTGCTGTGATTAGAGGAGGAAGTAGAAATAACCGCACGACCAAAAGTATCCATAAAATACCTGTGCAAAAAAGAATATTACAAGATCTAGACATCATTAAAAAAGTTAAGATACAGGCCATCTTGTATGCAATGAACCAAAAGATGCACAGGTAGAGGCTGCTTCCTCAGCACTGGTAGACAAGGACTCCACTTGCACATTTATCCTTAAGATACATCATGCCGAAGTTCTGAGCTATGTATAATTATCCTCTCCCACTTAATGTCAAGAGTAACTTCTCTTCCCACACAGCCCATGTACAAGCCGATTTACTTCATCAGGTTTTGGTAATATTGCATTCTTCACCCATTTGAATAAAGTTAGCTAAACCGACTTGGGACATAATTGTAGAAGATTACAAAGAATCTACTGCCCTCTTTACAATAACTCCTTTTGTCCCTATGAGTTCCTGATTGTCTAGTTCTATGCAGCCACTTCGTTTATAGAGCAGAATTCCATCCATATATTGGGATGTCTTTCAGAGCTTCTCAACCTATTCAAAGCATTAGCAGCAGCAATGAGAAATAACTTCCTTTATCTTCCACCCCACCTTCTTTTCACCTCAGATATTAGGTGAGTATTTATCAGCTCTACACTAGGACACTGTGGAGTAAATTCACTAGCATTTTCTGGTAGACCACACAGTAACCTATGTTTGTATGTAGGTATACTGCTTAACAAAAAGATCTTCCCAGTTTTCTCCTGTTCAAGGATATCTCAGAACTTGGTTCACACACACACACACACAAACAAAAAAACACACAAAAAAACCACAAAACAACTGACCAAACAAAACCAAAACCATGCTTAAGTTATAGCCACTTACAGCACAAACTGCTGTGCATCAAGTAAGGTACAAGAATGAGGCAAAGAAGCAAACGGAAGGGAGAAAGGGACTGAGGAATGAATGAATGTAGGCAGCTTCCTGTCAGAAGAGGTAACTGACGCCTTCCTGTGCACTGCCCTACTGCGTACCTTACCTTAGAGGTAACCATCCCAAGACACAGCTCCATTTTCCTGTGATTTCATTCCTTGGCTCTCCAGGGGAGATCAATAATTACAGCAGTGCTGGCTGCCTGCAGAAGCCTGGGGCCATGCAATAGAAATCCCTGCGAGGCCATAAGGAGAACACAGCAATTGAACTTAGAAGCACAGGAAGGAACAGAGCTTATCTAATACTTCAGCTCCACAAATCCCAAGTAGTGCTAAAGTAGCACATGGCCCCCAAAGCTGATACTCTGGGATGCTTTTTCCTTAAGTGAAAAGTTTACAAATAAATATTTATTTTGAAGAGTTACATTGCTTGTACACACAAAGTTTATCCTGTGGGTCCAGATGTTAGTGCTTTATTAAACACACGCATTGCAGGCCACTTGCTGTAAAGAATAGTGCAACTGCAGCCAATTTTTCTTTGGCAAACTTCCAGCAGGAAATAATCCTGTGTCAACTATGTCTTTCTCCTTTGGTACTGCATAGACTTAGACAATGCATCTGTTGGACTCACTTAAATATGTCCAAGTATGTGTTTCATTGTTTTTAAGCATCAAAGAGTTTTGCTGTTATAAATCATAACAAATAACCAATAACTCTAAACAAGAAAACCACAGGAGAAAATTGAGGTGCAGCTGTTGCCAGCCATTGAAGGAGATGGGGGAAAAAAAAAAAGATAGGAAACAGTTATATACATGATAGTGCTTGTTATCTAGATGATTTGTTTGAAGACAAGGTGCTAACAACATCTCTCATTTTTAAAGTGAAGATTTTGATGTAACACTGAATCACCATAGTTAAAAAATAATAGTAAAAATTGGTCTTTATTCCAGCAACAAGCCTAATGTAACATGAAGAGGGGCTCCCTGGGGAGCCAAGGAAAACAGCAGTGTATTTCCTAAAATACCTGGCACTGCTCCAGTGCTGCATCAGCATTCTTAAAATACATGCAATTGAAAAGACACCATTATTGCTGCACGATATGATTTTCAGACAAAGCAAAAAGTTCAACATAGTTCCATCCAAGTCACATCTGATCTGGAACACTCTGCGTAATACCCAAGCAGTTTAGAGAAGTAAATCCTGTTTTAAAAACTGTAGTACAGTATTTCCATGTGGACTTTGTGCAAAATGTGTGTTCCAGCCTTGGATATGGACAAGAAAAAGATAAATAAAGGGCCAAACTTTTAAAAATAAATGCTAACTTAATAGATGCTTTTAAAAAACCCAGGAAAAGTATTGTACTCCAGAGGATGTGCAACTCAAATACTCTGCACTAGTTACTGATCATATTGAGAATTAGCACTTAGCTGGGCACACGTAGGTTTGTAGACAAGTCTTCATGTTCTTTTTGATTCTTCCCACAGCAGTTTTGAAAACCTGGAAGTGTTCATCAGACCAGCAAGAAGTTCAGCTGCAAACATGAATGTTAGAATGTTTGTCAGAAGCCACAGGGGACTTGTAATCAAAAGACAACTTGGGTTGCCTTCTAAGGGACAGCATTACAGAAAACACTGCTGTTTGGGAGTCAGGTTTTCTTCTGATGACACAAATACCACGCTGGAGGGCAGCCAGACTGATTAACTAGGGGATCAATTTATGACTGTTCCACGCTGGGTACTGTGTGGGTTATAACTGAGAAGGATGCTCCTCTTAGTCTCCTGACCTCCCACACTGCCAGATCTGTGTCTCATTAACTTTGCTGGGACTGACATTGTGTGGGAACCGGATCTGAAAAGCAATCTTCTTCATTCTCTTTGAGCTCTTAAATCAGCTATTCCTTTTAAAATTAGGTACCAAAACATGGCCTTTGTTTTCTGCAGTCTTGGTCTTAAGTGTTCCTTACCAAAATTGTTAACTCTGTACACTCCTTCTCTCATTTAGAATTGGCTGATTTTCTGCAGAGATAACAAATACCACACAAGAGAAAGACAATTTAAGGATAAACTGTATTTTAGACTATAATGTAATCAATCACACAACTAGAAAAGAATTTTGGAACACCAGTTGGTCCTGCATGGACGGATGATCAGTCAGCCCTTGTCTTTTCATCGTGACTGAAATACGCAGAGCTGGGAAAAATTGGTAAGGTTGTGACATGACTGGTACAATTCTGTGCATGACCTTGAGTTCTGCAAGGTTGCTAGTATGAGATGAGAGATGACACCCCTTCTGTTACCTTATCTGTGAAGGACAGCAGTCCAAAGAAATTTTTCTAATAAATGAATTTCTGGAAGTTATAGTGCAAATCTGAAAAGTCAGATGCAGCAATGCTATAATATCTCTTTAGAATAACTTATTTCCTTAAGGAATTGGACCTGTGTATGTCAAGTGAGACTGAGAACTTTACTGGAAGGTCCAATTATTACTAGAATAAAAAAGCCAATGTAAAATAACCCGGTTGTTGTAACACATAATGCTGTGCTTTCTATGTAGTACAATGGAATGGAGTAAATAAGAAAGGTGGATGTAGTCTAAATGAAAAACACAGGAATGTTTCAACAAGGCAAATGGTACAACTGCTACCCAGAATTTCCCCTTGTATACTTGGAATCTTCACTGAATGTGTTTAACACATGACACGATGCTATCTTACACCTGCTGGTGGATACCTGATATCCACAAGTGGGAAAGAAATAAAAAACTGGGAAGAAAACTGGAAGCATCCCCTCTTTCTCTGTGCCTTTTCCACCTGTAGCACAAGGGTCTTTTACTACCATTATCTCTTAGCTCAGAGAAGCCTCAGGATGTTGCCCATGGATAGTGGTGAGAAGGTGTTAAGCCTGATAAAAGTCAGATGGTAGCAATGTAAACCAAGGTGGCAGAGGTACTTAAATAATCTTTATAAAGTTCATGAACTACCCACAACACCAGACACAGTGCTATCAAGACATCCTTTGCATGCTCCTTTAATTAAATAGGTTTAAAATACCTGTGAGTGCTCCTGGAGAAGAGTCTTCGGAATCCAGAATGATTAGAACAAACTGGAAGAATGGCTTAATGTCAAGAAGCTCAGTAGAGAGGTTCAAAGAAGAAAGAAAAAGCCCCTGTACAACTACCAATTGGAAAGCAATCAGCTCTATATCAAAATAGCAGAAGTTATCTGAAGGTCTAAGTTGATTCACAGATGAAAGCTAAAATGCCAATACAGAGAGCTACACCAGACTTTGAAAGGCATACATAAAACTGTAATGATCCACAAGAGGTTACAGGAATCCCAAAGAAATTCTCAGGAACACCTGAATAGGTGTTAGTCATGCAGAGAAAACTTGATTCTTCCAATTACAAAGCTGAAATTTCAACAAATATAAATCCAGAATCATGATTCATTTGTTAACCATAACCAAAACAGAACAGTACAAGAAGAAGTCATCTGAATTAGTGCCACAAATCTGGCCTAGATCCTCAAAGAAACTTCCCAGTAAGGCTGGTGGAACACCAAAGCCATATACCTACATAAAGATACTGCAGCATCTCTTAGCCTGAAGATTTTAACAAAGAGATTAAAACAACAGTGGCCCTGCAAGATCTACATACCTTCCCATAGTGCAGGAAGTTGGTTTCATGGCTTTCTCGCAGCCCTGTATTTTTTAGGACTGTACAATTCATTATTGACCTGAATGTTATGAGGAACATATCCCTGAAAACATTGCTTGGTCTCTTTCTCTTTCAAACTTTGCTTTACTGTTACACTTTAAAGCAACAAACAATAGCTTAGGCTAACAATGAATGGAAAGAGAAATATATTATACTAGCCATTAGCATTCTGCAATCTTTGTTTGCTTCATTCAGTCTGTTATTCCTTACAGTCTAGTTGGGCAGTAAGTTCTCCAGGATAAAGTATAAGCTTTTATTCCATGCTTGCTTGATGTCTAGATAAATCAGATCTCTTTCTAAAGCAATAACACAAGCCATAACAACATTATTAGAAAACCAAGGAATAAGTATGCATTGCAACAGTGTAAACAAAATAGCTTGCACCTTAGCCTGTGTCTGCCAGGGAGCAGCAAAGATTGGAAGCTTCCTCTAAGATGGGAAACTAGAAGCCACATACAAAACCACAACAAACAAAGCACTAGCCATCTTATAGCATGCAAACAATAATAACAATACAGGTATCACGACAGCAGGCAAGTTCAACAAAGAGCCCAAACCATTACAGAGGTTCACACTGTACACTATACACACTGTAAATAAAACATAGTTAAGGTACGGCCAGAAAAACCAGTCCACAGGCCAGGCTGATACCTACTGAATGTACCCAGGCACAGACATGACATAGTAGTTACCACAACAAGTATATATGTATATAAAGGTGGTTGAAAATCAGACCATAGTCTTAGCCTACATGTCCCAGTCTAAATGAACAAAGCCCATAAGTAAACAAACTTCTATAGCATAGCTCAAACAGAAACTAACCAACCAGGGCTGAGCTTATATGGAGCTCCTGGGCCCATGGGCAGAGGGTGTGGGTAGAGGCCCCAGGTGAGGTTGGTCAGGGCTATTAGTGCACTCAAGAACCAGTATAACTTTACTGCCTGCTAATGCTATGGCAATAATGACAGTGCTATCTTTTGCCTACCATTACTCATCAAGGGTAACTTAGACTCATTATAAATGCAATTTTTATAACTGTGTGTCTTAAATTTATTTTTAAAGCCTTCTAATGTAGTTATTCAAGTAGTCCAGTCACACACACAGAGAATCTAGTTTACATGCTTAGGTATGATTTATGCTGCATTTTAATGGACCTGTTTTGAGACAGTAATTTAAAATTTATTTGAAATGACAAATGAGAAAACTGTTTATGGCATACTTCATTGAAGGCCCCAGCACACACACTTGACTGAGTACTAGTTCACAGGAAACACCAATAAATATGCCAGTATTGCTGTCATCCACATGCTATTTTAAGTACCAGAGTCCTAAAATAATTTCAATACAAGGATTAACAGAGGGCTATGAACAAATAAGATGGCATTTGTGGATAGTTTGTGTAGGTGTTTCATGCCTCTGTTTTGGGGGACTGTTTAACACTTATCCTTAAAGCTCTGGGGTTTAGTAATTAAAAGATGGTAAGATAAAGCCTTAGAACAGGTGGAACAGAAGCAAAACGTAACCTTAGAAGTGAAGTGAGATGCTCCATAGAATATCTCGATTTTAAAGTGTTATTTGAATACAAATAAAGCCTAGAAATGTTACTTTAAAAAAAAAAAGAAGATATTTTTCCACTCAATCACAGCAAATCATAAGCAGTACCTGTCATAGCTGGTAACTGCAGCTGGAGTCTGATTTAATCCCAGGAGATGCCATGCAGGTGCCAATATCTGCAACTCTGCAGCTGGGACTGGTAAAATTGGTTTAAAAATGCTCCAGGAAAGCAGTGGCAGACAGAGTTGAAAAGAAATGAAAGGGCAGAGTTTCTGTAGAAATGCTAAAAAAGTTTTGTCTCATGCAAGTACATTGATGTAAGTGCTTTTGGAGTCATCTATACTGTGATTATTTTCTTCTTTCATGGGAAATGCACCTACTTGCAAATTTTTACAAGTTGAAATAATGTAAAGGAACCAGGAAGTCATAATTCTGTTCTCTACATCCACTACACTGCAGGAAAAATACAGCTATTTCTCATTACTGAAATAACAAAAGCTGGATCCTCAAATGACAGACTGACAGGACACCTCATTTGTTATGGTAATAGTATTGTTACAGATTGTTACTGCAGAATCCAGGTGCGTGCTCAGATCCTCTTGTATTCATTACCATTCAAAGAGAGAAAAAACCCAGCTGATTTGTGCCCCAAAACAAGTCACTAGCTGGGTGCAAAGGAAGATAATAAATGTGTCCAGACACACAGACATATCTGGAGTAGCAAGACATAGAAATGATACCGAGGAGCCTGATTTTGCCATTGTACTATGTATTACTATGTAGTAAAATTTTGTTCTTTGGGACTGGAGGGTATTTTAGCTGACACTGTGATAGACTTCAGAGAAGATGTTTGGAGGGTAATGCAGTACAGAGGTTTAAACGGCCTTCCTGTGAACTGAGAGGAAACAGGAGAATACAAATGATGACAGCAACAGAGCTTGGAATTGTGGCCTTGCATGTTATTACATGTGAGAACACACAGGCCAGGAAAAGGTTTACAAGTGAAGCTTTTAAAACAGAAAAAGCTAATGTAATGGAATAGAGGAAGTTTCTTTTGAAACAGTATTAGTGCCAGAAAATAGGATATTGCTGCACAAAGAGAAGAATGAAGGTGACCATTATATATTCTGTAAAAGGGGATTTAAGCTGTACACCAAATAGGGAAAGCAATGTTGTTGGAAGATTATCATTATAGTGAGTAAAAGGCCAAAATTAAAAAGAATCTGCTCTTTGTACAAAGTATTATGGCTGTTCACTGATAGCTTACAACTGAAGAATTACCCCTAAACCATAAGAAATACTTTAATTATTGTTTCTTTTAGTAACAGACATAACAGGATCTCTTTAGTAACAAGTATAACCATAACTCATTTGTACAACAGGGATATTGTAAATTATTTGGAAGTTAGAAAGAAAGCCTGTTTAGTCTCCATTGTATTTTGCATGGCAGATGCTTCATTTTCCTTTGCTGAAGCTGACACAGCTCACAGTGACCATTAAAGATGTTAACATTGTGATGCTTTTACTCCTGTAGTGTGGGTATATGAGATAACATGGTTAGTTTTTGTACATACAGACTGCTTGTACATGCCCTCCAAGAAGCATGTTGATACAACCTATGTTGGACTGTGTCACAGTGCAGTTGTGAGTTCAGTGTCCTAAGGTTCATTTGTTGGAGCAAAATTACTCTTGAAGGCAAAACTAGCTGTAATGCTGGCTTTGTGTGATGCAGCTCTTTAATCTGGTTACAAGCAAAACTATTTACCAATGGCTGCATTTCAGCTAAATCAGATTCAATCATTTTAATTGCATGGTTTTTAACTGTCAGTTTTACTGATGAAGACCCTAGTACATATGAGACTAATTCACATAGGGGACTTAAGTTCGCTTAACTCTTTCTTTTCCCATATTCACACAATCACTGACTGGTTTGCATTGGAGGGGATGTTATAGCTCATCCAGTTCCAACCCCCTGCCAGGGGCAGGGATACCTTCTACTAGAGCAGGTTGCTCCAGCCCTGTCCAACCTGGCCTTGAACACTGCCAGGGATATTGATATCAAAACCATTCAGACAAGTAGAACTTTCAAAAGGATACAAGCTGTGCGAAGAAAGTCCGCATTTCTTTTGCTGCTACAGCAGTTTCTTGCTGGTATTACTTACAAACGCTTAATGTAACCAAACCCATGAGCAGATTGGATTGCTTTCAAAGCTTACTGACCGTATCGTGGCACTCTTGTTACTTTGAAACCATCTCTGCCACAGACGTGTAGCTTCAGGTCTACCACAGGGACGGGTATCGGTCATGCTGGTGGGGCCTGGGCAAAATCAATGCGCCCGAGCTCTCCCGGAGGGAAAACCCAGCCCGTGTGCGAGGTGCGAGCCCGGGTGCGGGTGCGAGCCCCTGTTCGAGGGGCGAGCCCGGGTGCGGGTGCGAGCCCCTGCTCGAGGGGCGAGCCCGGGTGCGGGTGCGAGCCCCTGCTCGAGGGGCGAGCCCGGGTGCGCGCTGCCCGCGCCGCTCGGGCCCTCCGCAGGGCGCCCACCGAACGCCACAGCACGGCGCGCGCCCCCTCACCGCGCAGCGCCGGCGCGAGCCACCGCGTGAGGCGGGAAGCGCGAGGGTGCGAGCGCGCGCTGCCTCAGGGGCCGGCTGAGGCGGGCGCCTCGCGCCTCCACAGCAGCCCTCTATCCGCGGGGCTCGCCGTGCCACACGGCTCTGTTGAGCGTTTCGCGGTGAAAACAATGCCGGCCTCCCCCGGCCGCGTTCATCTGGCTTATTGTCCTTCCTGAGGAGCCGCCGAGCCCGGTGATTGCGGTCCTGGTCGGGCAGCGAGGGACCGACGCTATCTCACAGCCTCAGCGAGGGCCGCGGCCGGCGGAGATGCCTCTCCCTCACGCCTGAGGTGAGGAGGAACCTAAGCTGGCGGGCCGGCGAGCCAGCTGAGGGAGGGCTCCTCTCTCGCCGGTGTCCGGGTAAGCGGAAGGCTGGGCGGGCGGGAGATGGGGTCACTCGGGCTGGGCGGGCAGGGGTCCCTGCCTCCCCCCGCCGTGGGCCCGGCGGCAGAGCGGGCCGGGTCGGGCCGCACCGGGCGAAGGGCGGTGGAGCTGTCCCGGAGTGATGACGCGCTTCCTGCCCTCCCCAGCGGGGGTCTGCGCCTGGAGTCCGCAGCGGCGGCGGCTGTAGGCGGCGGCGGAGCAGGCGGGAGCGGGCAACAGGCGAGCGGGGGGGAAGGAAGGAAGGAAGGAAGCGAGCGGCGGGGCTTAGGCGCTGTGCAATGCTACAGTAACGCCGTTCCCGGTAGGAGCCCGCGAGGACCCCCTTGTCCTGCCCTGCCGTTGCACGTTGCATGGAGTGTCCGGTCCGTGCTGAGCCGCCGAGAGGGGGAAGACTCCGCGCAGGGCTGAGCGGCGGGAGCGCGGAGTCGCTCCGTGCCTGCGGCACCTCAGCTGCTGCTGGGTTTCGCGTGTAGATGCTGTATTGCCCCCGGCAGGCTGTCGGTCGGGAGGCGGGAGCTGCACTCCGTCCAGCACTGCCTTGTTCGCCCAACAAGTTGCCGGTTCTAGGGAGTACGGCAGTAGCCCGGCCCAGTGCTGTGCAGGGAGCCGGGTTGCCGTGGCCCGGTTGCGGTCCTGCCGCCGGGAGGGCTGAGCCCCGGGGAGGTGAGAGTGGCTCCCGCTCACCTTGCGTTCGTCAGGAACAGGGTCGAGGTGGGAGAGAGGCAAACCGCGGTCCTTTGGGATTGCTCCCTGTACCCTATAGGATTGGTATGGGAAGGAGGTACAGGGGCGGCATCTCCTCCCGGCCCCTCGCAGCCTGTTTCGGGAAGCTTCGCTTGGCCGTGTCGGGGGGTGAGTTTGCCTGAGGGACGGAGCCGTTGGGCGCTACTGGCAACCGCGATGGAGAAAAAAATCCCTTTTCGCAACACGTTGCGAAGCGACGACCTTCCAAGGACGGGCGTGCGGCGCCTGTGTACGCGTATATCTATAACCATATGTTCGCCTCTTCCCACTAGACCGTGGGACAGCTCGGGGTGGGAGTGGGTGGCAGGCCGGTCCCGTAGAGACACCGCGGACGGGAGGGAACGACGGGTCTGTCCCTGCGCAGCGCAGCCGAGGGTGGGATTGCTGGTGAGCCGCGCTGCTCGGCGGCCTCTCCCTTCCCCATGCTGGCCTGGAAGTGTAAGGGGCCAGCGGCTCTGGGCTACCTGCCTCGGTGCACCAGGGCCCCGTGCCCGCGTCTGGCCAGAGCACAAAACCTCCCTTGGTGAGTGGCAGCGTTGTATGCTTGTGGAGGGCCTGACCGCGCTGTGGGCTCGGGTCCCCGTGAGTGTCTTGGCACTTCTGGTTTTTCCTTGTCACCCTATCTCATGGCTGTGGGGTGCACCGCACAGGCTTGCTTTTGGGTGACAAGAGAACCCTGACACAGTGCCACCGCCTGGGCACACCTGTCTGGGGGTTGGGGCCTCTGCTGTCTTTGTGCTCACCTTCTGTAGTGCTTTTGTTCTGCTGACTAGCCACTTGAATTTATTTAATATTAATGCACTTTTTGTGTGTTAAAACACCGCTGCAGTGTCTAGTTAGAAGGATGGTGGAAATACTGAATGAAAAAAATGATCAAATTAAACAATTACCCACTTCCCTCCAATCTTTAAAAGTTTATTCTGTAGACCTGTATTTTAAAGCCAAGTTTGAGCCATATTAAGTTTCAAACCAGAAAGCCAGTTCTGAGTTTGAAAGTGTGTTATTTAAAGGCATCAGGATTCCTGCATTGTCAAGAGAGCCTGCTAGCTATGGCAAAATATCCATATCATGAATAAGAAAACAAGTAGCATGTGTCTGAGACTGTTCTAGCTTATGTAAACCGTCACTTACTCATACATGTATGGCAGTGTGTTGCAAGTGTGAGTGCAAGCCACCAGTGTTAGTTATACTACAATTTATAACATATCGGTACAAAATGCTTTCATACCTGAGATAATGGTCAGCCATTCTTCCAACAATACAGCTAAGTTAACTATGAATAAAGTTGGCTGGACTACCTTTTCTGCTTTAATTTTCAAACCATGACATTTTCAGTGCAGTTCCTTGAGATTGAAGGTTATCACACAGTTGGGGGGGGGGGATTAAACCAAACAACCCCCCTCTTTCCTCTGGGAAGTGCATTTTGTAAGATATGTGATGCTATATTTGACTCACTAGTCACTGCAAAATTAAAGGGATAAGTGGAATTCTAGCTTATCTGTTGGTGGCAAAATTATTGAGCTTGAGTAAGATGAGAATACTTTTTGTCTCTGATTGCCAATATAAGTCTTTGGGTTAACTGTGATAAACTTGGGTGATATTTAAGTTCTGAACCTTGGTATAAAATTCGAGAAAATACTATAGCAATTTCATATAAGATACCCATTCATTTTACCATGCAATTTACAGCAGTTTACTCCGAATAATTGTCCTGTGTGTTCTTAGAGTAACATCTGTTGCATGATATCATGTAATGGAATGTAGTACAGCCTAATTTAAGTTGATTTGAAATGTTGCCATTGCACTGTAGTAGTGCCTGAGAGGGCGAGAGCTTTTTGGTGTGTGATGGATAGATTGGTTATGAGTAGATTATGTTGAGAAAGACGAACTTGGATTTGAATTGTCAAGGATTAAGTACTTTTACTCTGAGCTTGGTTTGTTGTACAATTTTACTTAAGACTTCTTTCTTCTTCTGCCAGCTAATCTGATCACTGAATTCTACTTACATTAGGAAATGCATGTATAGTTATAAAGATAACTGATTAGTACAAAACACCACTACAGTAGATTCAAGACTTTTATTTTGGAGAGGAAGGAGTGGGCTTGAAAGAACTATCTTGCTGTGGCATAGCTTGAAGTGCATGATCTTCATGATGACTTGGAATTTTTGCTGTGGAAACCACTTAGTTAGTATTGCTCCCACAAAGATTTCACTGTGCACACTGTCACTTTATATCCCTACCTGTATAAAATATATCTATTAAATCTGTGCAAATGTAAGATCTAGGCGGCTTTAAAAAATGCCAGTACTGAATTAATTACCACAGCTGGACAATAATACAGACAACCTCCATTCCATCTTGTGGCATTGTAGTGTCAGATAGTCGCTGGAATATCAGTGTTGTATGTTCATGAAATGTGAGCAATACCATTTGCTGAAGCATTATTCCAGTCCATTATTTGAGCATTTATGTACTGAAACCATCACTTGAAGTAGTTTTCAGCTCCCACTCCTCTCTGACCCTCAGAGATTTCAATAAACTGCCAAATGTGTAGGCTTCCTGATTATTTTTTTTTTAATATGCAGAGTTTCTTGTTCAGAAGTTCTGATCCAGCTGCTGCCTTTGCATGGGGCTGTAATTAGGAAAGAAGTGTGAATGTGTTTACAGACTACTGTATCCAACCTTCAAAAATTCTTCCTTTCCAACCCCCCCCCCCCCATTCTTGAATACTTACAAGGTTTGGCAAGTCTTCTTATGCATGTTTCTGCAGACAATAGAATGCTGATGCAAATTGAGAGCAGCAAACAAAATGGTTGGGTGTTGCAAATATGGGGAGGCTGTCATAATAGGCAGTATTTTTCATGGTAGGTTTCATATGTTTACTTGTGTATTTTAGCATATCAGTTGACATAAATGTTACTGGTATATAGCTGGAAATTACAGTTTAGGTAGTCTTGTCTGTTGGTACTTGAAGGGGAATGCAGGTTTTTGCTTCTAGGCTTCTGCTTTTGACCACAAATAGTCATAATAGTGTAAATTGAAGAAATTCTAGAGGTAGGGGAGATGCAAATGATAAAGCAGAGCTTTTTTTCAGAGTAGCCTGGTTCCCAAATTCCAGAGGCTGTATTAAGCAGAATAATACAGGCTTTTGTAAATCTATGTAAGAGATTCCTATGATTATGCACATTGTGTTTTGTCTTAAGCTGTTTTATGTCTTATTTTTATTGTTGTAATTAAATTATTCATTCCTATTAAAAAATAAATCTGGTTGCCTTGAAGGTAGGCCAGGCTACTTAAATGCATAAGTAGCTAGGCTGATCCACAGGATGCTGAAATCCTGGTCTGATCAACGTTTAGAGAATTGTGACCTTCTATCTCTGTGTGCAGTAAAGACATGCCTTTTGAGTGAGGCTCATGCGCTTGGGGTTGAGGAGGTGGTGAGGAGCCTGCTGTTAGTTTTGATGCCAGACTTGGAAGTGTGACCCCTGAATTTTCTAGGTTTCTGTCCGTGCTAATGCTGCTGAAAACCCGTTTCACAGTAGTGTCAGAGAACCTTTT